AAAAGCAAATTTTCAGGCGTAACTGTGTCAAACCTAATTATCAAAGAGGTCTACAATTTTCAGGAGTGGCCAATGAGACATTTCTCTTTATGACCTGCTATAGAAAAGTATTAAAATTTGACTTAAAATTTTGAACTTGAATGTTACTTTTAGTAAACAGTACTGGTGGAATGACCCATATATATATATCTAGATCTAGATTAGATAGTCTAGGCTATAATTTTAATTCAGTTTAGATCTAAAACACACTACAGGGGCACTAAGTGCAAACGGGACCACAATTGTTACAATTGTACAGGAGTAGGAGTGCCTGCATCCTTGATCCGATACTGCTCTACGTCTATGTACAAGTTTAAAGTGAAAGAAATCTTTTTATGAGACAGCAGCTGGCAAAAAACACTGGATTTTTAGTCACCAAGTCCAAACTGTGTCAAATTGACTCGAATGCTTGTTAGTCAACTTACTGCCTTTATTGTTTTTTGTTGGTTTTTTTTTTCAAATACATTTTAATTCAGTTGCCTATGGTATATGACAGTTTTCCCTTCCAAAACCGTAGGCTAGATTTTCCAGTATATATTGCCTCTGGATCTCACTGGTTTCGGAGAGTGCGCGTACGCTTTCGCGTGAATTTCCTCCTTTTTAAAAATTTCTGAGTGGCAGCAGCTATGATTTACAGATTATGAGATGGTATTATTAGATCTTGATAATCTCCTTGCCTTAAACTTAAGCGTTAGCCTAGGTTTAGATTCCTAGGTCCTAGAAGAATGTGATTGTGTAAATAATTGACTGTTAGGGGGGGGGGGGGGTGTTTTTCATCTGTCAGTTCAGTAATTGTAGTGTAGAGTTGTAGTTGTAATATGTATTTCTGTTTATACTTACTTCCTTTGCTTGATAACATTAGACTTTAGAATTGTTGGTTGATGTTGATTTCTTGTGACAACAGGATTACAGAGACAGGTTTTATTTTACATGAAGCTACAGCCTACAGACAGCAAGCACCCAGCACCCCTCTGTGATTGGTCCAAATAAAGATGACGGTTTTCCCTCGCCAGTAACTGTTGACTAGATCTCGCCGTGTTGTTTTTTAAGTTTTTAAAGTGAATTTAATTTGTTTGTGTTATCATTTACATAGATAGATTCTAGATGTCTACAGTCTTGATCTAGATCTAGATCTAAACAATCTTAGCAATTCTCATTCCATAAATTTACCTGCTCCTTTAAGTTGTCCTCACACACTCACTCGCAATTGCGCGCACACACACACACACACACACAAGTGCGCATAATATTCACACACAGCCCAAGCAGTCGGCGATGAAACCTAGTGACGTAGCCCATCACGCTCTAAGCGGCAAAGAGGGTCCGTTACGGTGAGATCTAGATTAGTCAACTGGCAAGAGAAACCCTGGAAGACTACAAAAATAGATGGCTCAAATACGTCTATATTTTGGGCCAATCAGAGGTGTGCTTGGTGCTCGCTGTAGCTTCATGTGTTCATTTTTAATCAAAGTTGACAGGTTTTAATTTTAAATTTAAGTACTTTTGCAATAAAACTTGAGAGTTACAGATGCCATGCTCACACTAGAGTCTTTTGAAGCAGCACAGGGAGAAATCTCCTTGGTAATCTTTCTGAATTAGCCTTCTATTTCAACTATTGGTCTTCAGATCTAAAATTTAGAATTAGTGCTAATCATAAGTGTAGTATCTTTGCGCTCAGTGTGAACTATAGTAAAAGTTAACTATGAATGAGTTAATGTTGTCCGGGGGGGGGGGGGGGGGGGGGGGGGAAAAACAGATAAACTTATATCCAAAGTTCAACTTTTAACAGTTGGGATCTGTAAAGGGGACCGGAGAAAAACATCAAACCAAGCGAGTTCAGCACAAGCAAAGTTGACTGTATGTAGCATTGTCATGGAAATGATATCTGGGTCAGGACAGTCTGGATATTGTTTATTTATCAAGTTATTGGAAGGACTTTCGTAACGAGTGACCAACCCAATCAAAACGATAAAAAAAACCCAAACCTAACCTTTTAGAAAGCCTATCCCTAACCCTAATCCTACCAGAAACCCAGACCCTAATCCTATTATTACCCTAACCCTAGCCTTTAAAACCCTAACCCACTATTCAAGGTGGTTGTTCGTTGTTGAATTCCTCCCAACTAAGCCAACTTTTAAACATTTTGCTAGTATTTGATGGAGAAAGACACCTTGCAGAAGTTACCGGCCTGTTTGGGGCTGACTAGACTAGAGAGCCATAATATCTTCAAAAGCTATAAATATTAGTTTCACAATTTTGGGATGATTTATTAATTGTTGTTTATATTGTTGACCATTCCTTTTCTTTTGTTGACATGAACAGAGTGACTCTGTAGGGCTGACCTGTAGCTCGCCAAGCGCACGCCGTCTGCGTGTCAGCACACTGTGCGTTGGTTTCTGTGTCTGAGTGAGCGCCCTCTGCGTGTCAGCACAGCCGCTCTAGTTTTTTTGTTTTTGTAAAGTGTTTTACGGCGCTCGCAGCTGCATAGGTCATATGAGCGCGCGGGACACACCTAATATTTTCAGTTGGTAGGAAATTTTGAATTTTTGCCCGGGTGGCGGCCGAATCCTACTCTTATCGATTTTAGACCGCCAAGGGATCTTTAATTAACGTGCGCGACTTGCACACGGGCCCTCCGAGATTTTTCGCCCTTGTCCGAGAAGGCTAGGTGTAGATCTTTCCTACCAGAAGATCAGGGGTGTGGCAGAAAGATAGCAGTAAGGAGGAGCCAAGGAGTAGCAGTAGAAAGGCTGCAGAAAGTCAGGAGCCCAGAGGAGGGGGCAAAGGAGGTGAGGGGGGTGGGGGCAGAAAGTGGAATTGAAAGCAGACAACAGGACATTGCTAGAGAACAGGAAAGGAGGTGAAAGGAGACAATTTTAGAGAAGAAAATTTTTCGGTCGCTACCCGGATTCGAACCGGGACCTTTGAATGAGAGGCCAACACCTTAACCTCTAGGCCACGAGAGCCCCCAGCCGCTCTAGGCCTTCAACCCACAGGCCTACGAATGTAAACAAACCATCGAAACTAGGTCAACTTCTCGATTCAAAATTTTAATGTAGGATAAAGTGCATTTCTTGGGATTATTGTGGTCAAGTGTTGATGCTATCATCAATATCTAATAGTATAGCACCTATAATACTTACGTCTTGCTGATTTTGATGATCTGTGAAGAATTTCAGTCGAAAATAAACACGAAGTGAGGCTGTGTGCGACACATGCCCGATGTGTTTTTACAACACTGTTGAATAGCATGTCTGACGCATTGCGCAGCTCAGCGGACAACAGAGAGACCATACAGGGATGCTGCTCAGGCACACGATAATGTATACATCCATTTGCACGGGGCGAGCTGGGCGAGCTACAGGTCAGACCGACAGAGCCACTCGGGGACCAGCCTAATTCAAATGCACTCATTTTAGAATAAAAGATAGTCTGCTGCTGTGTCCTGAAAGTGTCAGTTATGATAATGATTTTCTTTGAATTTGTTTTGTCCTTGGCCTTGTTTGAAAGCAATTTCACAGTTGACAAATGTCTAATTAGTTCTGTGATGTTACTATAATTTTAGTAATCATAATGCTGGGATTTCACAATGAGTGATCCCTTTTTTAATCATGGTTATATAAAATTACTTTGTTTACTTGCAGCTCATGTATTGTTTTCTGTTTTAATTTATTATTGTAGTTAATGAAAGTTTATTACTTTAAAAAATTATAGTAGAGGGTTGTATGGCGCTCGCAACTGCATAAGGTCATATGAGCGCCAAGGGGTGGGTGTCAACAGAAAAGTCTTTACAGGGAATCAGACTTACTCTGCTCACCTCTCTAGCTTCAACAGCTCAAGGTCTGCTTCAACTATCAAGGCACCCCGTAAATAGCACGTCACAAGACCAAGAGTGACAAACATACAAAAGAAGTAGAGGAAAATGGCAATAGTAAGAATTAGGAAAGAAAAAGCAGCAGTTCCCTGTTGTAGATCAGGCACAGTTATGAGCGTGACATGAATCAGCCCATTTACAATTCTACTGTGCTTGAATGAGAAATGTCCCCCCTTTGGGAATGACCTAAAGACACTACAACAGTCAGTGGCACTGCCTTGGGGGGGAAATGAAGGTTTGGAACTTACACAGCATATATAGGGCGCCTCACAAAATAACTTTTCTGTAACTTTGTTGTGTCTTCAGTTTCATCTTTGGCTGATTGGTCAGTGTTTGGATAGAAGTGTTGATCATCCACGGCACAACCTTGCATTTGAGTATTAAAAGTCTCAGTACTTACTTCATGATCTCATAATGAACATCATTTGGTATGGGACCCAAATGAATTGAAAATCATGTAATATTTTTTTATGCTGTCTACTAAAGGTTTGTTGAAAGGTCTTGAGCCACTGCTAGAAAGTCAGTACTTTGAGAAAGCAACTGGAGTGTTCTCTAGATTTCTTCATTCTCTTCGACTTTATTTTTGTTTGTTTACAACAATGGTTATCATGATAAAACTTTGTTTAGTGTTGCAATTACGACTTATTGAAAATCTCTTTTTTACCAGATTGACTGAGAAGTGGTGCCATGGGTTATGAAAATAATTCAACTTTAGGCTGATACCTGAATAAAGTCAGTCATCAAGTGTTATTTGGATTAACGCAGTGTCTCGTCGGCATATCTTGAAGGCGAGGTAAGTGGTTTAAAAATAAAATGTTTATAAAGTTTTGTAGTTATTAGAGAATGAGAGCATCATGTCTGGTTCTACTTGAATGGATGTTACAGTTTTTGTTTTTTAAACGTTAAAGTCAAGATGTAATGATTTGTGAACATACGTTTTAAAATTTTTAAATGGTCTGTCGAGATAAAGCTAAACAATCCTAAACCTGTCCTACCTTATGTCAAACCAGGATTTGTCCAGGTTTTTAAAATCTTTTTGAAAGGCTTCTTCTTTTAGTTTTGAAACTTTTTGTTTCAGGCATTTTTCTAGTTATGGTCAGAATATTGTAAGTAGATCTCAGAATCTCAGGATGGTACACAGCTGGCTGGAGATGGAGAAGATAGCCCAGAACAGAGATAGGTGGAGAGCCCTTCATGGTGGTTTCTACCCAAGAGTGGGATGAAAGAGGCGAATGGTGATGATGATTGTCAGAATATGTTGGAATGACCATAAAGGATGCAGAAATACATGTTGTTATGACAGGCTGCCCATGTATTGATAATAATTGTTCTTACAAACATCAGGTTTCTTTGTCCTGGAGTAGCTGTGTGCACACCTTTTTGCTCGTTTTTCGGGGGGGTCTTCAAAGTAAGCAGATTTATGAACCGAGGTCAGTTTTGTGAGCTTTTGGTTTTAAATGGTTTGCTTTTGAGGATTTGAAATTTTCATATATTTGGTTAAAGGAGTTTGCAGGTCTGATGTGATTTGATTGTTAATAAATAGTTGCTATTGTCTTTGGCAGATTCTTTGTGTAGATTGGAAATAAGATTTGACAGTGATTTAGTGGGAAGTATCCTTAAGAGGTACCGTTCGTGGAGAAGCTGGTGGATTTTTATGAGGAATGTGCAACCTCTGGTTGCAGCAAGCCTAATTAGAATTACACACACAACTTTCCCAGGATAAATTATAAATCGTTTTATCTCAATTTTTTTATTGATGCATGCCTCATGACTTCAAAGGTTGATTTTTATTTTTATCAAAGAACTCTTGATTTGGTGTGGTTTCACCTTTCAGGCCTTTATTACTCTCTTAGTTCTGGTGTCTGGTGAACAGGAAAAAAAATGTATCAGTTGATGTTCGGGGTAATAACGACAGTCGAACACATGCTCTGACTGAAGAGTTAGGTTGAATAGTACTCACAGAGGAAGCCTCCCCTCCCCCCTTGGATGTCTTTCTTTCTCCTTGTATGCTGTCTGTCTGGGAGGTTGTTTTGTCATGTTTCATTCTGAGTGTTGTCTTCAGTTTAACCTAACCATTTCAGTAACTTTTGAGCCTTGGCCCCTGAGAACTTCCTAACCCATGCCATGCACCTGAACTTTCGTAGGTTGACTACTTGTAAGAATAAATGCTCAATGGCCTTCCAAATAGCTGGGTCTGGTGAATTATCAAACTGTTGGTAGCCTGGACAGATCTGTGCTTTTTGTTTACAAATTTTGTATTGTTCATCCTTATATTGTTGTCACCAGTTGTGAGGATCCTATTGTTGAAAATTGTCATGTTTAGCTAGAGCCACTACATTGTTCCCATGCCACAGCACAAATTAAAATTCTGAATGCATCCTTCCAAACAGTAGTGCAAGTTTCTAGACTCTAATCATTTGTAAAAGCAACTCGGATACAATAGATATCATAAGATGAAGAAGACTCATTGTGCAGGTGGTGGAGAGATCACTTGGGGTTGGTTCTACTTTTTCTTTAATATATTCTTCGATTTTTTTGTCTCTGTCTTGCTTTTCCCTGCTCTGAATATCTAACCTTTTTGCTGTGTCGGTGTGAAACTGTGATAATCAGATATCTCAGACACTTCTGGAATAATATTTTAAGTTATTTGATTTTAAATGAACACCTGCGCCCTCATCACAAGTGTGTCTAAGTTTTAAAAAAAACATTTAAGAGCTATCGTCACAGTTTCCCTTTGAGATGGAATTAATGTGTTACAAAATTATATTTTCTTTTTATTCAATAATTTGAAACTCATTTCTCAAAATGAATCTCTTGTGGATGAAATCCAGTCTATGAATTTTCTTTTTGAAAGTATCCTCTTGAACATAGTATCACAGCAGTTACTGTGAGCTGGATTGCTCTTGTCAGACTTAATTGAATTTGTCTGCTTTTAGTGGGTGGTTGGCGTGTGCTCTGGTGTGGTTTGCTTCTTCTTTCCTATGAAACATCTATCGTCCTTATCTCCCCTTCTTCTTTTTTATGTTTGTTACTCTCTTTTAACACCTCTAATCTTCTGGCACTCATATGACCTTATGCAGTTGGGAGCGCCATAAAACCTCTACTAAATCTAAACTTAACTGTCTGCTTTTTTTGTTTCCAGATCTCTATTTTATCGAAACTGGTCAACATGGCTAGTACGGCTCGCAATCAGCGCAGTGGGCCCAGGTCACAGGCTAACCCACATGGTTTGCGTCATATAGAACTGGATCAGATCTGGGATGACCTCAAGGCTGGTGTGCGCAGTGTCTACAGGCGACAGAGCATGTCTCGACAGCGGTACATGGAGTTGTATACGTATCCTTGTCATACATGTATGAGGATTTCATTGTCTTATGCTGTGTTGTAAACCTTACATAATATATGGTTTGGAGTGTCTTTGTATCACATTACATAGTAACTTAAACAGTTGTAAAAATGTCTGAAGTGAAAAACATTATCTCAAACCAATTTAAATGTTTCTTCCTTTTCACATTATTGGACACAAAAATGTTGTGCACCTGATGTGCCAGTGATATTATACTGCACTATGTCTGTTTAGTTATTTCTCATCGTGCGACAAATCAGTTTGTGTGTGAGACTTAACACTTATTTCCAGGATCAAAATTTTGATGTGGGTGGTTGGCGGGTGCTCTGGTGTGGTTTGCTGCTTTTTTCCTATCGAACATCTATCATCCTTATCTCCCCTTCTTCTTTTTTATGTTTGTTACTCTCTTGTAACACCTCTAATCTTCTGGCGCTCATATGACCTTTTATGCAGTTGCGAGCGCCGTAAAACCTCTACTTAAACTAAACTTGTCTTATTTTTTACGCCCTTGTCTTTCATCAGGATCACAACATGTAGTTTTATTTGAATTGTCTTCAGGTTGACACTTTAATACAGGAATATAACACATCTAATCTTCGGCACTTTTGTGACCTTATTATGTTGCAATTGCAGGAAAACTAACTAAAAACAAAATAAAGCAATTTTATTTACCTTAACCTTTCTGCAGTCATGTATACAACTATTGCACCAGTGTCCACAGTATCGGTAATCAAAATCAAGCTGGCAGCACAGCAGCATCGTCGTCCTCCCAGAGAAATTCCTCGTCTCGGAATAGAAATCGGCCTCAGGGTGGCGGGGCTCAGTTTGTTGGTCATGATCTCTACAAGAGGATCAAAGATTTGCTCAGGCAGTACCTGGTCAATTTGCTGAAGGTACTTTTTTGTTTATGGATGCATGTCGACTACTTGTAAGACCCTTGCCATACGCCATTTTGAAAAGTGACATGACGGAGTGTTCCACTGAGTAGTGAATAAGTCTGCTTATAAAATCCGTGAGGGAAGAGTTTTAATGTGTCATTAAAAGATTTCTGTTCGCTTTTATCCTATAACGACTTTATTAGCTGTCTCCTTCATTTAGATATTGCCTGTTGTAATGAATGTTACTTATCTCTGCTATCTTTAGATTTATAACTTTACTAAGTCCTGCAGTCTCGTCTGGGACAAAGGCTGCGGACAAGAGCTCTCCACAATCTCGATCCGGTTTCTCCAACTGTCCCCGCGTATGCCCAAAAATTGTGTCCTCTGCCACTTCCTGGCACAGAGATGATGGTCATTAGCCTGGCAGCTTTTAGATCCTGGCTTTCACTACCCAGCTTCATTCACTTTCCTACTGAAGGTCCATTCTCTCCCGCGACCAAAATGTCATTTGATTCTCTAGTGAGCGAGTCTGTAAGTGGGTTGTTTTACAGGGAGGGTAAGCTAAAGCTAAACTCTCTCCTAACCCTCCTTTCATAGCGGGGCTTTTGACTGTCTTTGGCAAAGTTTTGGATTATATGATGCACCCTTATTAGATCAAGTAGATTAGTAGATATTGCTGTTTAATAACCAATAACTAAGTCGTCATTTGTGCAGATGATTGTCTTGGACGGGTAGGCTTTAGAAAAGATTTGACTATATAATTCTTTCCATCCCCAGGAAGGGCAAGACTTGTTAGATGAACAAGTTCTCCAGTTCTACACCCGACAGTGGGAGGACTATCAGTTCTCCAGCAAAGTATTAGATGGAATCTGTGCATACCTCAATCGTCACTGGGTGCGAAGGGAGTGCGATGAGGGCTCCCGAGGAATCTACTTCATTTATTCGGTAAAGATGGCATCTGGGTTATTTTTAGAATAGGAAATGTGAGTAGTATGAAATCTAGGGGGAAACATTTCACCTTAGATGTGTGTTTGGATTTAACATAAGAGAGCAATCGTGATGTTACATCTGTGTATGCTTCTATTATGGTGGAAAAGTGTACATTTTATTTTCGCTAGACTCGTTAGGGAAGAATGTAAGCCAGCAGCACATCACATCAGATGTTATGTCAAAGTACGCTTTATGATGGTAATTTTGTTTGCAAAAGTTGATTTTTTTAAAATTGCATTCCTGAATAGCACAAGTTTATACAGGGATGTAAATCTTCAGGCTTTTTCTTTTTTTTCCGGCCGACTTGCCATTTGGGTCCCAGCTTTTAACAAAAGTCTACTATAAACAATATACATATTATAGATACTAAATAGAGATTATTTGTTGTAATAGAGGGAAAGAAACAAATATAATTTAGTCTCATTGTACAGACTTGCCACTCATCCCGATTTAATCGGGATATCCCGATTTTTTTGCCCCAAATCTCAAGCATCCCGATTTTCCCGATTTCGATCGCTAGTATCCTGATTTTTTGTCGTTGCGTCCGATTCTGAGAAAAAAATATTAAAAGTTCTGCAATCTCTTTTGCTTGGAAGCACCGATTGGACTTTTTATCGGCAGGAACTTGGAACGCTATTTTCTAAAGCATCTATGCTGAATCTATTAGTTGACTCACGCACGTTATTTCAACTAAAATTGATGTAGTATCGATTTTGAATTCCGACATGGATACGCTCAAGATGTACTTTCGCTTTTATAACCCAGAATTCTCCGATGGTGTCCTGATTACTGTAACAATTATGACATGGGCCTAAGAATAATCTATTTGTTGTTCTGCTGTTGGTTTAAAAGCAAGCTTCGTCTTGAGTTCTGGTTAGTTGGGCCCATCATCAAGACCCGTCAGTGGAACTTTCAAATGCTCATTCGCATCACGTGACATGACTTCGTACGTGTGAGTAGCGCGTGTGTCGGGGACCGTCGGCTGTCGGGGTCAGCAAAGTTCATTCGCATTGGTCGGGGTGTTTTTCAAGATTTAACCAGGACGACCGGGGGGGGGGAGCAGGTGGGGGTATTGTTTTGACACTTGGGCTTAAAGTGCATGCCGTGATACAAGTAGAACCTACTAATTGAGGATAAAGGAATAAGAAGAAAAAAAAAATGAACAACCTTGGTGCGATCTTTTTTTCTTTGAGTGTGGAAGTCAAACGTTGTTACTGTATGAAGACACTGGCTTTTTTTGCGTGGATGATTAGAGTTATGTGGCAGCTATTTTCAAGACAACGAGAGTTTCAGCTTTACTGCAACCTGCGCTCCCCCACTCTATCCCACTCCGACTCGAGTAATGCTGTCTTTCAGTTTTCCCTCTATTTAGAGGCCCAAACGTGAACTTATTCCTGCAAAAGTTTTCTCTTGCGTACTTTCCTCATAAAAGGGAACCAGGATCCTCGTTCCCCAGTACCCCTTATGACTGATTTGCCGTTGATCCCGATTTTTTTCACCAGATCCTGATTTTTTTACTCTAACATCCTGATTTTTAGATTTCATAGAGTGGCAGGTCTGCATTGTATTCTTATTTTAGTCAGTGCGCGCACGCGCCATATATTTTCCAGCTTTTTTTTTCAAAACCTGTTTACATCCCTGTTTATAAATTCTAAACTTCCTGGGCTTTTTTTTTTTTTTTCAGCTGGCACTGATCACATGGCGAGACAACTTGTTTCGGCCACTCAACAAACAGGTAACCAATGCAGTCCTCAAACTGATTGAGCGGGAAAGAAACGGAGAGCCTATCAACACGCGCCTGGTCAGTGGAGTCATTAGCTGCTATGGTAAGTTATTTGTCCTGTGTCCTTAAGTTTTCTATTTTAAGTTATAGACACCTGCCAATCGCACATTTCCTGCTCTCTGCCATTATCTCGTTATGCACTCGTTGCTTGTCAGTCGGCTGTACATTTGCACCTGCAAATCGGTCAAATTGTGGTGTGATATTTTGGTGCTATTTTGCTCCTTTCTTTCATTCACTCATTCATTTTGTCTGTCTTCTGCTCGTTGCTGTGGTTGGAAAATGTACGAATTGAGAATATTGAAATAATGATTTTAGAAAGAAAATCACTATCAGAAAATTTTTATTTTTTTAAAACTAGAGTCAAAATTGTCAGTGTGAAGTTTCTACAGGTGCACAATTGAAGCCACTGTGAAAGAAATTCATGCTAAAAGCTAAAAAGATATATAATTGGAATTTGTGTTCTGAGGCAACATTTCACATTCGAATGTAAAAAAAAAAATGGAGGAAAATTAGGGTACATGCTGGGTGACTGTATCGTGGGGCATGTGGGCCCCAGGCCTTGGTCAAAAAATTTTCTTTGCTTTTCTGCTTTATCTGTTGGAAGCCCTGTATTTCTATTGAAAGTGCTGTAAAACTCTTTCTAAAACTAAAAAAAACCCATTTGACTACTTTTTTGTGTCACCTTAGTAAAAGGCACTTAACATGTATTTTCCCCCTTTGGCTAGTCTTGTCGGAGATGGGCGTTAAATGTGGAGGTCCTGCCATTTCAATAAACTTACAGTGTTGCCCAGGGGTGTTAAATATATACAATTTTGCACAATATACTGTAGAACTATCATAATGAAATTGCCTTTTAAGTTGATCTGAAGTTAGAATAACTGGTGAGGGTTACTGGTTTTTGGGTCGGGGAAAAATGGGATTTAATTTCAAAGAATACTTTCTGCCTGCAGTGCAAAACTTTGCGGGTCACCTAAAGACTACAGTGTTTTCTGTTTAGATTTGAATCAATTTTGAATTTTGCACGGGTGCTGGCCAAATCTCTTATAGATTTTATGATCACTCGGGGATCTTTAATTAATATATGAAGCTTGCACATTAAAGCTCGTCTCCTTATACGCGACGTCGCATAGTGTGTGGTCCTTGCCGCTCTAAAATCAATAAAGTAAAATTATAAAGAAATCGTCTCCTTACACGCGATGCGGCATCTAATTGTAAGCGACGGTTGCCTGCAATCGGTACATGTAGTGATCGAGGGTCTCGTTGTGTGCGACAGTCTGAGGGTGTGACAGGTTTAGAGCATCACCATTGGTCAAAATACCTAGCCAAGGAGTGCCGGTCGACATGCTGTGTGTGATGTGGTGTGTGTGTATTGTGAATCTAATTTTGTTGTTTTGTTTTTTAACGGACAGCAGGAGAAGGAGGAGGAGGAGAAGGAGGACTTACATGGGATTGGCCATGTACGGAATATAAAATGTCAGCAGCTCGTAGAACTCCCATCTGAAGGACTTTGTACTTCCTTGTCGATCTTGACCTTAAAATTTGCCACTGTCTCTCTTCTGTGAATTGCCAGTTGTGGGAGGGCTTAGCCAGTCCCGCGCGGCTAAACGTCGCGTCGCGCATAAGGAGACAGTTTTGTTGCACGCAACTGAAAATTTTGGGGCGATGTGGTCGTGCATAAGGATACACACCTCACGACTCACCACTAGTGACCGCCGTATGCGACTGAACGCCGCGTCGCACATAAGGAGACATAGGCTGAGACCTCCCAGATTTTTTTACCCTTATCCAAGAAGGCTAGTTAAGATCAGGGGTGCAGCCGAAAGACAGCTGTCAAGAGCAGGCAGGTCATGTTATCTGATGTGGAAAGTTTCTATTTCATCAGTGGAGCTTGGCCTGAATGAAGATGACCCCAGTGCTAAAGGGCCGACGCTGTCTGTGTACAAGGAGCACTTTGAAAATCTGTTCCTGGAGGACACGGAGAGGTTTTACGCCACAGAGAGTAGCGAGTTCCTGCGACACAACCCCGTGACAGAGTACATGAAAAAGGTAAATAATAGAGGGATGGGTTATTCGCATACACACAGTCGTGCTCGCACGTGCGCACACACACACACACACACACACAGGCACACGCGCGCAAACACAAACACACACACACACACACACACACACACACACACACACACAACGCCGTGACAGAGTACATGAAAAAGGTAAATAATAGAGGGAGGGGTTATTCGCATACACCCAGTCGCACGCGCATTCACACACACACAGGCACACGCACACATGCAAGCACACGCGCACACTCACACACACATGCACACACATGACAGAGTACATGAAAAAGGTACATAATAGAGGGGGGGAGTTATGCTCACGTGCGCAAATTGTATTTCAGTGAGTTTGTCTTTCATCAGTGATGTTGTGCTCTAACTGGGTTCATCATGAGTGAAAGAAATAATGAGAAAGTATTATTCTTACACTTCCGAAAACCCCTTTGGCCTCGGATTTGAGGTACATTTGGACTGGGATCAGTGTCGGTGTTCTTTACCTCTGTGAAATGTCCTACGGGATGTTCAAGTTTTGTATGGCAGCTTTGTTAATTCTGAATCAGGACATTGGTCTTTTTGGGTGGTTGGCGGGTGCTCTGATGTGGTTTGCTTGTTCTTTCCTATCAAACATCTATCGTCCTTATCTCCCCTTCTTTTTTATGTTTGTTACTCTCTTGTAACACCTCTAATCTTCTGGCGCTCATATGACCTTGTGCAGTTGAGAGCGCTGTAAAACCGCTACTAAAACTAACATTGGTCTTTTCCTGAGCTAATGGGGCTAGTACAAACTGCAGGCAGGGGGTGAATTTCCTGATGTATAAAGGACTATAAGAATATATTGAATATATTGGAAATCATTGTTTTGAAGTCTGTGTGGCATTTTGAATTGTACTATTTTGCTGAGGATTCTTTTTTGTTCAATTTTGATTTTTGTTGTTTTTTTTGTCAGCAGTTTTATTTGTTTGTTAAAGCAATTAAATTACATAGTATTAATTGTCATATCTCTACCATGCCTGAGCGCCAGTTAAGTCAAAATTGTTCTAGTTTTGGATTGGATGACCAATTCTTAGTAGGCTGAAGTGAAATGTATCTGCATAAACCTGCCAGTGATGTAGTTTGTTTTTAGTTAGCGTTAATGCGAGACATGTTGGAATGCTAACAGGGACTGAAAATTTTGCCTCTTCAGTACTTGGAATTTCATTTTTGTTGTTGCTGTGAATGAGTCTTAATATTTTTGCATATTTTTTGTTTTGTTTTTAGGCAGAACAACGTTTGAAGGAGGAACAGAAGCGTGTCCAAACATACCTTCATGAGAGCACTTTTGATGTCTTAGCGAGGGTGTGTGAAAAAGTGCTAATACAGAAACATTTGGAGAATTTCCACTGTGAATTCCAGAACCTTCTCAACTCTGACAAAAATGAAGGTATTTCTTTCCGGGCCGTTTTAGCACATGTGTTGTGCATAGAAGATAGTCCTAGAAACATTGTGCTTTCGGATTAATGTTTTTTAATGGCGTTCTTGAAAGTTTGTAAGATTTGTTGTCAGGAGCACTGAAGTAAAAACTGTGTTCTTCTATTTTTAAGGGATGTGTGCATAAATAGTCCTGTCAGCATCAGTATTTGATGAAGTTATGTGGATGTTGTTACTTTTGCCATTGTGTAGGGGGGGGTTCATGATTAACTGATAACAAAATGTGAAGACTACAACACGGGGGGACAAAATGACCCTGGGCGTACGGATAGGGTTAATGTAATAGTGTTTTTTCTGTTCATGCGAACTGCTGTGTCCACCCACACTCTCAGTGCTTTTTGGTGCGGGAAAACAACTCATAATAACCGGGTGGGTGGTTGGCGGGTGCTCTGGTGTGGTTTGCTTCTTTTTTCCTATCAAACATCTATCGTCCTTATCTCCCCTTGTTCTTTTTTATGTTAGTTTCTCTCTTGCAACTCCTCTGACCTTCTGGCGCTCATATGACCTTATGCAGTTGCGGGCGCCGTAAAACCTCTACTAAAACTAAGTGTCCACCCACAGACTTGGGCCGCATGTACCAGTTGGTGGCTCGCATTCAAGACGCCCTTCACGAGCTCAAGTCCCTCCTGGAGAAACACATCCTGAACCAGGGTCTGTCCGCCCTTGAGAAGTGCGGGGAGACTGCCCTCAATGTGAGTGTGTTGTATTTCAAAATGCAGGGAAATGGACTTTCTTACAAACTGTTCGAGGAAAGAAGCAATCTGAGGATAAAATAGTGGTTTGTGTATCTGAAGACTAGTGGAAGTGATGAAGATTTTATGGAGCTATTAAGTATGGTTTCACGGCCATGGCGGTAAGGAATGTGTTAAAATTCTTGCGTTTTTTGCCCTTAATGCAAGCGCTTAGGGAGATTCAAAAGTATTTTTCTGAAGGCAAGAAACAAGTTTTCACTTAAAATGCAAATATGTGTTCTGGATTGCATATTCACTTCTCGAAATTGTAAAGAATTGAAGTTTCATTTTGTCTTTCTTTTGTTAGATTTTCACTCATTAAAAAAATTTCCCTGTCTGTTCCTTTCAATTCCAGGATCCAAAAGTGTATGTACAGACAATATTAGATGTGCACAAGAAGTATCATGCTTTAGTCTTGACAGCTTTCGACAATGATGCTGGCTTTGTTGCTGCACTTGACAAGGTGAGAAAATCAGAGACATATTGTACTTTTTTAGACACTGTTAAATCCTTCAACTTCCCAGTAAAGGAATCAAAGAAATTTGTAAGAATGAAGATCTTGTCATACTGAAAGTATCCGTTTACAGTAACAGTGAGATAGATTAAATGCTATAGTTCAGTAGCATTAGTCTCATGAAATGATTGTTATAAAAACATACTGTAAGGTGGTCTAAGTTAACTCTTTACCATTTTCTTTCTGGAAGAAAACAAATTGCGACAAAGAAAAGCAAGTCAAATTGAGAAATGTCTAGAATTCCTATGCCTTCTCATTCTCCTCTCCTCTCCATATTCTGTTATTCTGGAGGCATCCATTGTGTGGGCACTTGGTCTGATTTGAGTACTTATTTTTAATACTTTTGCTGATTGATAAACTGAGGTGAAGTGCTGTAGAACACCAATTCAATCAGTGAATCAAAAGCTGACTAATCATTTTTTATCTTCCATTTTTGTAACAGACACTTACTATCTCTTACTTTTGCTCGTTTTTTCTTTTTCCAGGCTTGTGGCCAGTTCATCAACCAAAACTTTGTAACAAAACAGGCCAAGACATCGAGCAAATCTCCAGAGTTGTTGGCCAGATACTGTGATTTGTTACTAAAAAAGAGGTGAGAGTCTTGGCTACGCTGCAGACATTGTGGTGTCCTGAATGTTGTGTAGTTATTGATGAGATAAATCCATGGGCTTGATTCAGAGAAGTTGCAGTGTAGGTGGTTGGCGGGTGCTCTGGTATGAATTGCTTTTTCTTTCATATCAAACATCTATCATTCTTATCTCTCCTTTTTTTGTGTGTGTGTATGTTTTTTGTGTTTGTTACTCTCTTGTAACGCCTCTATTCTGCTGCACTTCCATAACGTAATTGTGTTGCGAGTGCTATAATACTCTTATTAACTCATTCGATCTTCAATTTTAGCTTAGATTCTATTCCAATCCACATATCCATGTTAAAATAAAGGTCATAATATAATGTTGACTTCCGGGTCAAGCATTTCCACTGAAAATCTGAAATTTAGATTCAGTTTTGAAACGCGATTTCGTAGTTTATTCGACTTTGTTTTATCACGATGCCAGAATTATAGCCCAGGCACCAGTCTTACTAATTTTACGCAACAAAATCTATCATTATTTTGCCCACTAAAGAAATGTAGGACTCTTTTTTTATAATATTGATACGATTGGACTCATATTGCCAATACACTGTTATTGAGAAATCAATATTTTTGAGTGCTAGATCTAGGTCTGGATCTAAATTGTGAAAATTTTTTTCCTCAAAATCACTACTTTTTCATGAAATTACACAAAAAGTGCTACTCAAGACATGTATAGGTTTATTCCAAATGCAATTATGAATAATTCCATATAAGATACGAGTGAGTTTTTTCTGTTTGTGATCGTTTTTCAAGATTATAAAAAAATTATTTTTTTTCAATATCGGATGTTATGTTCAAAATGTACAAATATTATGGAATGTAGGTAAATAACTGCAAACTTTTCCATATTTTCCAGTTCTATATTCATTTATGGTCATTTTGATGTATCATTTGACTAGGTGCAAACTTATTTTTTGAGTTTCACCAAAGATTATTAATTTTTTATTTTCAAATTTTATCTGCATCCAATCATAATTGTGTTGCATAATCGTCTCTTACAGGAACCAAAGTTGAAAAATACACAAATAAACATTACAGATGTATTCTACAAACCATACTGAAAATATTGGTATATAATACGTTGATATTTATTTGAATTTGTGGCCCCAAAGACCGTTTAACTGCCGACTAGTCATCATCTCATTCGCCCTCCCGAAAAAAAATTTGTCCACAAGCCGAAAATAATACGTAGCGAATGAGTTAAAACTAAATGGGGCTTCGGTATGGTACTGAATAAAGTCTAAGGGTGCTTCTGGATTTCAGTTGACCTATTCTAGACAAATATATTTTGGAATGGGAAATGTAAATAATTGGGAGTCCGCTTTAAAACCGAACATGGATAATCCGAAAACGGGTAAACCGTAAGAAAATCCCTGATCTTTTGAAAAATTTCATCTAAGCAACCTATTTAAATCAAAGAAAATTTGGCGGTTCGCAGATTTCAATTTAAGCGGGCTCCAGTGTATACCATATAATTTTTTGTTTTGATAAGAGTTTTACGGCGCTGGCAACTGCATCAGGTCACCTGAGTGCGCAGAACACAAGTTGGTTGCTTTCATATTAAAAGCATTTTCAGTTCTGGCAACACAATGGTAAAAGTAACAACATCCACATTACTTCTGAATTTTGCCTGGGTAGTGGCACAAACTCACTCTCACACACATGCACACGCTCAAACACACACACGCTTGCGCGTGCTCACACATGCATGCATAAAAAAAGTAATGAATGTCAATGTGTTCTTTGCTATTTTCTTCTCAAGCGTGACTTTGTTTGGAAATTAATGTTTTCTTTATTTGTCTTTTTTTCTAATTTTGTAGTTCTAAAAACCCAGAGGAAGCAGAACTAGAAGACACTTTGAATCAAGTGGTGAGTTTTGTTGTGTTTATTCAATAAAAAAAAAATGGAATTAATCTGTTTTGTTTGTAAACGTCCTGAAACTCTTTTAATTCTTCAATCTCCTGAAATTCTCCGCAATATTTCTCTCCAAAGAAAACTTCTGATGAGGGTATTTTGAGTGTTTAAGTGAAAGAACAGTGCGTTTTTTTCTTTTTATTGTAGTAAAAAGGAAGGGAATGATTCACAAATGTACCCCTCCATTTTACTGTTCCAATATTATGTACTTTGTCTTGTTGTATTTTTAGCACTGTTCCAAATAACAGTTGTGCGGCTCTGTATTCGTTTTTATTTATCGCATCTGAAAATGTGCATTGTTACTTTATTTAGCTGGATTTGAGCGCTGTTCTCTATAGCATTTGTGCTGCTCAATTTATATTGTGTTATTATGGTATTAATATTTATAGAATCTGAAACATGTGCATTATTATGTTACTTAGGTTAAGCACTGTTCTTTATTGCATTTGTGCTGTTCAATTTATTTTGTGTAGTTATCATTGTATTAGTTTATATTCATAATATCTGAAAAAATGTGCCTTCTCACTTCTCCCCAGATGGTTGTTTTCAAGTATATTGAGGACAAAGATGTTTTCCAGAAATTTTACAGTAAAATGTTGGCCAAGCGTCTTGTGGGCTATATGTCTGCTTCAGATGATGCTGAAGCTAGCATGATCTCAAAATTAAAGGTATCCACATTTGACAAAGGGATTTTACAGTTTTACCCAATGGGGCTTTTACTTTTCATCTCAGATGAGTTATCATGTTGGTTGGATATTTGGAATGCCTTCCTCTACCCTTAGTGGGTTTAAATAAATGTGTTTTGAAGTTTCTGCAACGGAAAAACTAAAGATAACGAAAGGTTAAGCTCCCAGTACACATATAGTATTTCTTTCATCATAGATATTTTCTTCATGCTATTCTGTAACAAGTGGCTGTGTGTTGTAATCGATGTGTAAGGTTGTGTGTGGTGTGCGCGTGCAAGTTTTTGTTAGAGAGGGGGTAAGAAAGAATTGCTCTTGAAACCAAGTGGTGGTCATGTTCTTTGTGTTATTTTAAAGCTCATTGGGCATTTGTTTGTGGAAACGCGCTGTATAAGTGAAATTCAATATTACTTATTATTATTAAGTATTCATGGAACTTTACTGATGTTGATGCGTTCTTTTTCAGTCCGCCTGTGGCTTTGAGTACACATCCAAGCTGCAGAGAATGTTCCAAGACATCGGTGTCAGCAAAGATCTCAATGAAAACTTCCGCAAACACCTTGAGACCTCAAGGGAGCCATTAGATAGTGAGTAGAGTTTTTTTTTAGTTGAGGGAAAATGAAGAAAAAGTGTGTGTAAAGCATCGTATGACAAATACTCCCAACTTGCTGATACTAAAGAAATAGTCTCCAGTTATTTGTGTGTTCCTTGAAATTTGAAAAGTTTTAAGATCATTTTGTGGCTTTAATAATGATGGTAATCTTGGTTATTCCCCCCCCCCCCCCCAGCTCCTTGAGACTGCATGGGGGTTACTATGTGCACTAAGATGCATGTTTCTCATATCTTAATATTTTAACCATAATGTCTTCATAGGTTCAACTCAGGTTTTTAATTTAAGAATTACAAGTTTGAGAAATGAATATTTATTGTAGAAAGAAATCTAAGCTTCAGAGTGTTTAAGATCTGCAAGGTTAATAATTGTTTTAAGTTCAAAATCTGAATAATGGTACATTTTATGTACAATGTCAAATCTTTTAAGGCAATGGAAGGAAAAATACTACTCTTTTTCTTTGTGTTTCTCTTCATAGTTGACTTCAGTATCCAGGTACTCAGCTCAGGGTCGTGGCCTTTCCAGCAATCCTGTCCTTTCACTCTTCCAGTGGAGGTGAGTTGTGTAGTAGTGATAGCTTCATCTTGAATTGCTGCCAACCATTACATAAAAAACATAGTGGAACATGCTGACAAAATTATTTACTTCTCGTATTCGAGCCCTTAGGAAATGGATAAGTCACGCTTATTTCTATGATTTACAAGTGCAAAATAATAAAAGACAAGTTATACTTAAGGAATATGGCATAAATAGAAAATCTACAACTTTGACCCTTGTGTCGATTTTTGGCCAATATCTCCATTTGTGATTTGTGAGAAGTAACTCTTTTTGTCAGCACGCCTCACATATTTAAAACCTTTTTGAGGGTCTCTGTTTTTGTATCAGAAAATATGTATTCTCTTTTTTTCTAGCGTTGCTCCTTCTGAAATTTCCTTTGCAGAAGAAAATTATGAACTTTCAAGACCGGATTTGAAAATGATAATTAGAACGACGCTCACAGGTTAATTGGAGAGATCTTAACTATACATATGGGATATAATTGTTGCAAGTTTCCTTTGAACAGCTTAAATTTATTGAATGCAGAAAACTGAAGAGTGTGGGAGGGGGGGGGGGAGATTTACTTGTCCAGTTTCCACCATCAAGACTCGGCCTACCATGTTGAGAGTCTGTATTGTGGTTTTGAAAAATTGGCAGCTGTGATCTTGAAATGGTGTGTGGTTTCATTGGTGGGTGCTCTGATGCGGTTTGCTCTTTCGTTCCTATCAAACATCCATCGTCCCTGATCTCTCCTCCTTTAGGTTTTGGTTACCCCATCCTTACTATAGTCGTTTTTTCCTCTATTTCCTTTGTATGTTTGTCACTGTCTTGTGAACTGCTATTTCTGGAGTGCCTTGATAGTCAAAGCAGACTCCGTGCTGTTGAGGCTAGAGGGGTGAGCAGAGTAAGCCTGATTCCCCGTTTAGACTTCTCTGTTGACATCCTCCCGCTCATATGACCTTGTGCAGTTGCGAGCACCTGAAACCTTACTAAAACAACGTTTAAAAAAACCCTGTGGGTGGTTGGCGGATGCTCTGGTGTGGTTTGCTCCTTCTTTCCTATCAAACATCTATTGTCCTTATCTCCCCTTCTTTTTTATGTTTGTTACTCTCTTGTAACACCTGTAATATTCTGGCGCTCACATGACCTTATGCAGTTGCGAGTGCCGTAAAACCTCTAATAAAACTAAACTTAAAAAACCCCCCCGTCAAATGATGTAATGGTTTTTCTCAGCTGGAGAGAAGTTACCAAAGGTTCACAGCATTCTATGGCAGTCGACACAGTGGGCGCAAGCTGAATTGGTTGTATCAGATGTCCAAGGGAGAAGTGGTCACCAACTGCTTCAAAAACAAATACACTTTGCAGGTGCGTGGGCTTTTCGTGAAATGTCCTCTTTTGTTCTTTTACCGTTTGAATGATTTTATGCATATGAGCAATTGCCAAAACGTGAGACTCTTGAGACTCAGTGGTGCAAAAAAATTTTTCTTATCAATTTGACTCCCTTTTCTGTCAGTCACAGATTGACATTTAGTGCTCATACTCCTAGAGTATAAGAGCAAGGAGATGTAGGGTTTTGGAGATATGGGTTTATTGGTTTGGCAACCACTGTATTTCTTGTATGTAACAGTGATGACAAAAACAGATAAGCAGCAAGGCAAATTATGGACTTAAAATTCCATTTGTTTAGTAAACAAAGACTTTGTATCCTATGAACTCCATTCATAATGGTAATATAAATGACAAGCTTTGTAACAATGACGCAGTTCTTAGAACATGTCATCATTGGACATTATCATTGACAACACATCACAATAGTGAAAGGCTGTACAAATACAGTTATCAAAGCCTCAGTACCAGAAAAACATGTGTAAAGCAATTTTTAAACTAATATGAGGCAAAAGCACAAAATCAATGGAGCTGACTCGTACATAACAGTGATGACAAACATAACTTGTACATAACAATGATAACACAATGTACAGGAAAAGACAGTCATGCCTCCAGAGAGAAATGCGCACTCTAAGAATTAAAAAAACCCAGGAGAGGTTTCTTTTGCTTTGAAACAGATATCAGGTCATATCAAAGACAGTGGACGATCACAATTATGTTGCTAATAATGACAAACAGTACTCATACATAACAGTGATGACAAAACATACTGGGAAAAGGTAAAATCATGCCTACAAAGAACAAATTTGCACTATGAGATACACAGATCAATAAAGGCGTATTTTGCTTCTAAATGAATCTTGCATGTATGAAATATATGTTGAAAACTTATTAATATTAGCATTGATGACAAATATTACTTGTACATAACAATGATGACACAATGTATTGGAAAAAGGCATATCATACCAACAAAGTTTGACAGATAAACAAGGACATGTTTGTTTATTTGTTTGAGTAAAAAGAGCACACATGATTTAAAAAATGTTTGCTCTTAGGACAATGTAATTTCTAGTACGTCAGTCAGTCTTGTACAGCTGCATGATGACACCCCAAACGTCATCACTAAGCACAAAAGCTAAATCTATAACCACAAAAATGACCCATCTCTCGAAGTTTGTTCACACATCACACTCTTGTTCCAGAAAACCAATGTAAACACCGCAATGTCACTAAAATATTCAATAGGGTTGCCTAAAAACACTCAAAACAGTCCAGTACTTGACATTCAACGTCAGATTCTTGTGCGTCACCGGACACTGACGGCAATAACTACTTTCGTTTTTCTCTTTCCCCCGTTGCCTCCGCTGTTCTGGGGAAGCGGGTAAGGGGCAGTCACTCAAGAAAATAATTATATCCGGGCACTGTTGATGATCCGTTCAAAACAAAAGTAGGCTAAAATTCGGACTTCCGGTACGTCGCAAAGTGACGCCAATCACGGCGAATGTTAAACAGCTGACCAAAATCGTAGATCTAGGAACCTGATGTTCCTTTCGTGCATCGCGGCTTTTGAAGTACTGAATAAACGACGAAAAGCAAAAAGATTTAACCAGCTGTGGTGATTCTACTGAAAAATAATGGTGTTTTCTGAAACACCTAGTCCGTGGTGACACGATTGACGCACAAGTGATCCGAATTGTTCGTTTATTTACAAACAAATAAACCGATTTCTTGAGCAAGTTAACCTTTCTCGATGAGAAATAGCATAGAACCAAAGCACACGTAAAAAAAAAAACCCACCCAAAAATACTAAATTTTGGACATTCTTGGAAGTTTGCATTGGTGTGCTCAAAATGACAATCCAGGAATCACTAAAAAACGAACATTTTTGGCAAAAAATGTACAAACTCAAGATTGTAAAGCTGACATGGGGTCTGAAACTGCTAATGCGGGTTCTACATCCTATATTTGACATGTGTATAAATTTGGGAAGAATAAATACTAATGCATCACATTTTATGCACACTAATGTGAGATGTGTGTGTTTTTCCCCACGTTTTGGCAATGGCCTATATAGCAGGGAGAGCTTTGTTTTCCTGGTTGGTGTATTGAGAGGGTTTCTGTTTGTGTGGCAAAAAAAAAATAATTTTTTTTAAACTTTCAGTTGGCACTAATCCTTTGAAAGTCCTTTGTTCCATAACTATAATGAATGCATAAAAAAATTGGTTTAATATGTGCAATTTGATGTTCTCACACGTACAGTCACATTTAACCCCACGGGGCGAAAGACTTTACTCTACATGGTCTTTGACTTATGTGGTTGGTGTGCGCTCTGGTGTGGTTTGCTCCTTCTTTTCTATCGAATATCTGTCCTCCATATCTCTCCTCCTCCTACTTGTTGATGTACCTCGGCACTTACATATTGGCACTTATATGACCTAATTGTGTTGCGAGTGCCGTAAAACTCTTACTAAGGTTGGCGGATGCTCTGGTGTGGTTTGCTCCTGCTTCCCTTTTAAACATCTTCGGTCCTTATCTCTCCTCCTTTTTTTGTGTTTGTTACTCTCTTGTAACACCTCTTATTTCTCTTATCTTCAGCACTTATATGACCTAATTGTGTTGCAAGTGCCGTAAAACCCTTACTAAGTGGGTGGTTGGCGGATGCTCTGGTGTGGTTTGCTTCTTCTTCCCTATCAATCATCTATCGTCCTTAGCTCCCCTTCTTTTTTATGTTTGTTACTCTCTTGTAACACCTAATCTTCTGGCGGTCATATGACCTTATGAAGTTACGAGCGCCGTAAAACCTCTACTAAAAAAAAAAAAAAAAAAGACCCCTTACTAAAACTAAAAAGTGCTTACTAAAATACAGCTGCGCGTGCCCCCCCCCCCCCCCCCCCTTACAATGTATCTTTTAAAAAAAAGTATGTGTTTGTGTTTGCAGGCATCGACATTTCAAATGGCAGTCCTCCTGCAGTACAACTCTGAGGACAGCTACAGTGTCCAACAGCTGCAGGACAACACCCTCATCAAAATGGTGAGATTTTTGTCCTATGCGGCTCTGTGGGTGCTCTCAGCTGCTCTAGGTTCTTATAAAGTACACATCTGAAAGTTTTCCTTTTTTAAACACATTTTAAGACAGCAGCGTTTTTTTTTTCTTTTCTCAGCTTTGTTCTGTTTGATTTTTATGTGTGTTTTTTTTTTATTACTGGATAACTTTCTTTCACTTGCCCAGTTTTTATTGAAAAGAAAAGGAGTTGGAAGGCGGTGAGGAAGAAAATTATGGTACATTGCCTTACCTGACTGCAGGTTATAAGTAAAGTTGTTAGGTCTGATTTTTTAAAAAGTGGTTTTCAAAACTTGTATTTACTTCTCTGTACTTGACAGAGATAAAATCTACGTACTCATTTTATTTTGAGGCCATGAAACACATTTACATTGCGTAATGGAGAAGACTACGGTTTTGTTGAAAAGGGATACCCCATCATGGATACAGTATCCTTTTCAGTAAGCATGAGTCGCCACAGCCTGCCATTTTATTTGAATGGATTGATTTGATGCTGCTTTGATATTCCCTAATGGACTCTTGTTTCTGTGCCTTTGCACAGCTGAACTGGTCACAGCTAATCACACTGACTTCTGTGATGTAGCAGTTAAACGCTTCGCTGTGGCATGCAGGAGACTCAAGTTCAATTCTCGAGTGGAGGAGACAAGTTTTTAATGAGTATCTCTGTCTTTCTGCTGGGATGGTCTTTCTGCTTGGATATTGTGTCCCTCTCAGCCCGGGTTGACCCTGACAGACAGGGTCGGAAGCCCACCTCCTTAATAGTATAAGTTCTATCGGGGGTGTGTGTGTGTGTGTGTGTGTGTGTGTGTGTGTAAAAAACAGCTGCAAGGAACACAATGCAATGACAGCCAATCACTCTTAATCTACATCTGTCTTTCTCAGGACATCCTCCAACAAGTCTTACAGATTTTACTCAAGTCGAAACTGCTGGTTGCGGAGGACGGAGTCAGTGAAGCTGACATTGTACCAGGAACGCAAATCTCTCTATTCCGCAACTATAAAAAGTAAGTAGACCTGCATGTTTGCTGACAATAGTCTGAAATCCGACAATCGTGACCCGACCCGCGAGCCGGCCGATGCTATCGCTAGGCCTACCTGTATAAGTCGATGTGCGAAGTGCGAGGCCTGGCCGACTGCCAGCGCCCCCTTTTTCTCCCGTCGGCTTTGTCGGCACTTTCGTTTTCGTGCCGACGTCGGCGTTTCCGACATAATTGTCGGAACCTGAGTAGAGATAAGAATACGTAAAAGGACGACGACCTTAATTATCTACTTTCAGTTTCGTGCTAGAGCGGCCATTTTGAATTTCGTTTGTTTTGTTGACTGTTCATGTGGATTCCTTCTTGAGTCCGACTTACTTGTTCTACTAGATCTAGATTTATAGATCATAATAGACCTCAATGAAGGATTCATATTTCAATTCTATTGTGTCAAACCCTATGATAGGTTGTGCTGTAATATTAATGCTTGTAAAAAGCATTTCATCAGGTGCGTGAATTAGAATTTAGAATCTTAGACTCGGCTGAGTCTCTCTGTTTGTCGAATGTTCGGAATCGGATGCGGATTTCTCGTTCAAGGCCTCCTATTTCTATTCACTTGTTCTTTTAGATCTATATGGAGGATTCATATTCCAATTCTATTGTGTTATATTATTGTGTCAAACCTTATAGCAAAGTAGTAGATCTATAGGCCATATGATTATGCTCCTTTTTGTTTTGGAGGGGTTTTTTTCTTTTCATTTTGGACTTGTGCTGACCTTTTTACATGAGGGCCGTTGCAGGTTCTTTTTGGGGGTAGGGATAGGGTTAGGGTTATGTCTTTTCTTTATATTGTGTTTGTTGGGGTGGTCGCTCGTTACTCGGAAGTCCTTCCTTTTAATATATGACACCTACAAAAGGTCTTTGGGGGGGGGGGGGGGGGGTGTTCACAAAATTTTCAGACAATCTGGTTGAGGCTCACATGCAGGTCTAAGTAAGTTAAAAGATAGAAGACCACCCCAGTTGGCCCTGTGGTATGGCGTGTTTCTTTTTGTGTGAGCTTTTAAAAAAAATTTAACCTCATGAATGGGAGGCACAGATAACCGAACACGTCGGGTATTGACAAATGTCTTCAACACATCCATAATTTGGGTAAGATGACGAAAAATTAAATATATCAGTCGGGGTAATGGCAGCTTGTATGAGTTATCCATGATATAGAGTGAAAGTTTCACTTTAGGAACCGTATGGTGCTCATGTACATCATTGTGTTCTTGTAAATTACGTTGAGCACTTTCTCAATGGAAATGCACTATATACATGAAATCTTTAATTGTTATTAATGGTATCATTATTACATAGTGGAAATGCATTACAAAAGTGAAATGTTTAAATATTATTATTAATACAGTTGAATGTGTCCAAGACAGGTGATGCTTGTGGACAGTGTCATTTTACTATACCCCCAAAAAATGCCTGAGTTTAGGAAGTGGTTGTATGTACTGGTGATTGTCTTGGACATGTGCTTGTTAGAGCAGGTTTGACTGTTTTCACAACTGGTTGTTGTTAGACAGAGCAGGTCTGGCTGTATTCACAGCTGGTGGTTGTAGGTGACTATTCACAACTGATGGTCGTTAGAGCAAGTTTGACTGTATCCACAACTGGTGGTCGTTAGAGCAGGTTTGACTATTCACAACTGGTGGTAGTTAGTGACTGTATTAACAACTGGTGGTTATTAGAGGAGATTTGACTGTATTCGCAACAGGTGGTTGTTAGAGCTGGTTTGACTGTATTCATAGCTGGTGGTTGTAAGGGCAAGTTTGACTGTATGCACAACTGGTGGACATTAAAGTAGGTTTGACTGTATTCACATGATAATGTCAGTTTTAAAAACATAATTTTTGACAGTATCTGTCAAATTTTCTGAAGTTCTCATATTATAATGTTGTGTATGGTCTGCTTCAGTTTCTGTGTAACCCACTGACTGAAGTGTCTTTTGGCCATTCCCAAAGGAGGGACATTAACTTGTTCTTATGCATTGTAGAATTGTAAATAGACTGATTCAACAATGTCATGCTCATAACTGTGCCTGAACTGTAACAGGGGACTTGCTGCTTTTTTTCTTTCCTAATCCTTGCTATCGTCATTTTTCCTCTACTTATTTTGTATGTTTGTCACACTCTTGTGACCTGCTATTTCTGGGGTGCCTTAATAGTCGAAACAGACTTTGTACTGTTGAAGCTAGAGAGGTGAGCAGAGAGCCTGATTCCCTGTAAGAGCTTCTCTGTTGACATCCACCCCGTGGCGCTCATATGACCTTACGCTGTTGCGAGCTCCGAAAAACCTCTACCAAAACAAAAACTAAGTTTCTGTGTTTCCTTATTTCCTTTGCAGCAAAAAACTGCGTGTGAACATTAATGTGCCAATGAAGACAGAGGTCAAAGCAGAGCAAGAATCCACCCACAAAAACATTGAAGAGGACAGGAAGCTTTTGATACAGGTCAGTGATGTGCTTATTGATAGGTACAGGCATTGGTCAGATTATGAATAGATGTGTATTGAACAGTGGGGGGGGGGGGGGGGGGTTGATGGTCTGGTGGTTTGTCTCCCGGACTCGCAACAGGAAGATCATGGATTTGAATCCTGTCAGGAGGTCAATGTTGTGTCTTTGGGAAAGGCATGATACATGGCAATTTTCCTCACTTCACTCCCAGGTGGGTTTGGGTACTCCGGCTATGGACAGCAAAAGGTTTTGTCAAATTATTATTATCATCACTGCTATTATTATTGTTTTCTTTGAATGAATAACTTGACTTTTACATCATCTGTGTGCTGTCGGAAGGGAACATTTTAAAAAAAGGAATTATGTAAATTGTCTTGCCTTTCCACCTGGACTTTTTCACACGTGCAGCTTGTGTGTAGTTGTGTGTGTAGTAAACGCCAGGGACAGAGAACTCTGGCTAAAGTGCTCGTCTCTCTTGTCTTCATGGGAGGGGAGCTCCAGAGGCCAGGGACATTCCTACAAACTTTCTGTTGTCCTTAACTCTCCTACTTTTCTTTTTACATTATTCTATAGTAATAACTCTACCCTGGGACACTTATATATGATCTATTTAAAACTCTTACCGAAACCTTTTTTTTTTTTTAAAGGCAGTGGTCAGGTGGTTAGTGAACTTTGTTGTGTCGAAACTGTAAAGAACACTGGTCCAGTGTAAATGGCGGAAAGATGGGAGGTGACAGGATCAGTGGGTGGTGTGTGCTTGAGAAAGAAAACACACTGACCCAGTCATTTCAGGTAGCTGCACTGAGACATCCTGCAACGATGTGGTTTTTATTTCTTAATGCGTTAGTTTGTTAAGTGCATAGAGCTTGCTGGTGAGCGGGAATTTACACCTTACATTTGCTATATTATTATTATCATTTAATTATTGTTATTATTATTATTATTATTATCATCATCATTATTATTGTCATCATTATTATTGTTGTTGTTATTGTTTCATTTGAATGAATAACGTGACGCTTTCATCATCTGTGTGCTTTCAAAAGGAATATTTTTTTTCAAGGAATTGTTTAAATTGTCTTGCCTTTCCACCTGGACTTTTTCACACGTGCAGCTTGTGTGTAGCTGTGTGTGTAGTAAACGCCAGGGACAGAGAACTCTGGCTAAAGTGCTCGTCTCTCTTGTCTTCATGGGAGGGGAGCTCCAGAGGCCAGGGACAAACTTTCTGTTGTCCTTAACTCTCCTACTTTTCTTTTTACATTATTCTATAGTAATAACTCTACCCTGGGACACTTATATATGATCTATTTAAAACTCTTACCGAAACCTTCTTTTTTTTTTTAAAGGCAGTGGTCAGGTGGTTAGTGAACTTTGTTGTGTCGAAACTGTAAAGAACACTGGTCCAGTGTAAATGGCGGAAAGATGGGAGGGGACAGGATCAGTGGGTGGTGTGTGCTTGAGAAAGAAAACACACTGACCCAGTCATTTCAGGTAGCTGCACTGAGACATCCTGCAATGATGTGGTTTTTATTTCTTAATGTGTTAGTTTGTTTCAAAATGCATAGAGCTTGCTGGTGAGTGGGAATTTACGCCTTACATTTGCTATTATTATTATTATCATTGTTATTGTTGTTATTATTATTATTATCATCATCATTATTATTGTCACCATTATTATTATTGTTGTTATTGTTTCATTTGAATGAATAACATGACTCTTTCATCATCTGTGTGCTTTCAGAAGGAATTTTTTTTTTCAAGGAATTGTTTAATTTGTCTTGCCTTTCCACCTGGACTTTTTCACACGTGCAGCTTGTGTGTAGCTGTGTGTGTAGTAAACGCCAGGGAAAGAGAACTCTGGCTAAAGTGCTCGTCTCTCTTGTCTTCGTGGGAGGGGAGCTCCAGAAGCCAGGGTCATTTGACCCCCCCCCCCCCTGCAGTGTTTGTGATGACGATTTGCTGGTGATCTAGTGTGGGATTACTCTCGTACTTTGTTTTCATTGTGATTTTTTATAAGGTGTTTCCTTTGGAAATTGTAAATGTTATTGTGTTGATTCACATTAAACCATTTACATTATGTTTGTCAATTTCTTCCACCATTGTTCTCAGTTATTGCCCCTCTCCCATAGTCATTGCACCTTTCTAGAACTGGTGTCTGTGGTTTAGTAGTTGCGGGCTTGGCCATTGCCCACAGGAGATCTGAGTTAAATTCCCGAGTTGGGAGAATTTTTCTCGTGCATCTCGGTCTGTCTGCAGGGACATTGTATCCCTTTCAGACCATGTTGGCTTTGACAGGCAGGTGGAAGCCCGTCTTCTAAATGATCTAAATTGTTTCAAAAAGGACATAAAACATAAAAAGAAGTATAATCAATTTCTTCAACGTATGCCTCCATTTTGACCCGGTTGCCCATAGTCACTCCACCTATTTAAAAAAAAAAAAGTTTTCTGTAGTGGATTTTTGTTTTCAAGCTGTTTCTCATAAAGCGTTTTTTGTTGTTTTTCAGGCAGCAGTTGTGAGAATTATGAAGATGCGCAAGACTTTGAAACACCAGCAGCTGTTGATAGAAGTGCTCCACCAACTTTCTTCTCGTTTCAAGCCCAGAGTACCTGTTATAAAGGTGAGGTGGTTGGTTGGCGGGTCCTATGGTGTGGTTTGTCCTTCTTTCTTATCTAACGTCTGTCCTCCATATCTCTCCTTTTGTTCTATGTATGTTGCTCTCTAGTAACATCTCAAATCTTTGGTACTTATGTAACTTTATCGTGCTGTAAGTGCCATTAAACTTATTAGAAGGGGGCTCTCGTGGTCTAGAGGTTAAGGTGTTGGCCTCTCATTCAAAGGTCCCGGGTTCGAATCCGAGTAGCGACCGAAAAATTTTCTTCTCTAAAATTGTCTCCTTTCACCTCTTTTCCTGCTCTCTAGTTCTGTTGTCTGCTTTCATTTCCACTTTCTGCCCCCACCCCTTCACCTCCTTTGCCCCCCTCCTCTGGGCTCCTGACTCTTTCTGCAGCCTTTCTACTGCTACTCCTTGGCTCCTCCTTACTGCTGTCTTTCTGCCACACCCCTGATCTTCTGGTAGGAAAGATCTACACCTAGCCTTCTCGGACAAGGGCGAAAAATCTCGGAGGGCCCTGCGCAGGTTGCGCACGTTAAAGATCCCTTGGTGGTCTAAAATCGATAAGAGTAGGCTTTGGCCGCCACCCGGGCTAAATTCAAAATTTCCTACCAACTGAAAATATTAGGTGTGTTCCGCGCGCTCATATGACCTAATGCAGTTGCGAGCGCCGTAAAACACTTTACAAAAAGAAAAACAAACTTATTAGAAGTAAACTTAATCGGTATTGTGAAGAAATAATTAAGACTAGACTTCTTCCTTGGTTTGAGTTGCGATAGACCAGCAGTTATACAAAGTCCACAGTCGTTTCAGTAGATCTATTGGAAACACTTTTTCTGATGTATTAGGGTTTATTCGGTTGGTTTAGAAGGTTAATGACTTGAGTTTTTCTGCCTTTTTTAAACATTCTCCAAATTGTTACCGAAATTACCAAGGATTGGTATACCCATGAGTAATGAGAATGGTAGGTCAAAACAATCAACACACTGAACATTTCCTTCATGACAAGCTCAAAATCTTTCTATGCCGCTAACTGCATTTGAAAATGATATTAGAGGTGCTTGGGGGGGGGGGGGGAGGGGGGGGGGGACTTTATGATGATTGTTGTAATTTTAGTTTACTTTGTATTTTATTTTTTAGGGAGGGGGGATAGGAGAGTCCTTCAGTGGATGTTATTTAGTATTTTATTCTTAAACTAGCTGGGCCCCCTTTCGATGAGAGAAATGATCGGTGCATTAACATTAACTGAAAGTCATTGGCGTACTATATTTACACTCTACTGGAATGGAGCAATAAATCTTTAGAGAAAAGTGACACACGTGTTTCCGAGTTGCCAAATATGTAATAGATGCATAGATTGATTCTCTATTCCGCTTTTGTGGTTGTTCACTCCAGAATTTCAAAGGTGTGGAATCAGCACTGGCGCACGGACAGTGAATGGACATCTCACTTGTTTACAATGGCTTCTTAGAAGACAGACTTTCCTAAGATTCTGTGTCGACGAAGCAAAGCATTTGGGAAAAATCGGGGAAAGCAGTTTGCGTGGATTTTTTAAAAGTTAGGTCCTAGCCACATGGATGCTGTGGACACCTGCAAAGTTTCAAAGGTGTGGGTTAGGTAATAAGGGAGGAGTTTGTGCACAGTCTCCCAAGTCCACTTTTATATATATAGATAGTGTCCCTTCTATTTTTTAAATTCTAATCCAATTCTTTAATGTGCCTCCTCAGAAATGCATCGATATCTTGATAGAGAAGGAGTACCTGGCTCGAGTAGATGGACAGAAGGACACGTACAGCTATCTGGCCTGAGCTGCCCACCCCCCTCTCTCTCTCTCTCAGCGTGATGGGGATCCTTTCTTTTTGTGCCTGTTCTCTGACTCCAGCCACCTCTCATTGCCATTGCCTGCAGTACCACCGATAGTGCACCGCCCGCTTCTGCCCCAGTGTTCACAGTGTTGTTCCGCAGTGCTCTCCACACGCACGCACGCACGCGCGCGCACACACACACGGCACTCTGAACCCTAGGAAACGACCTCGGACCTTTCTCGTAAGCTCAATCTGTGACAAGACTGTGCGCCGCCTCCGCAGCCGCCTTGAGTTGTTGTATTATCACACACTGCACTCGTTGTGGCTCTGTAGTAATATTCTGATGATGTGTTTGTTGACGCGTTGGCTTAGAGTGAGAGAGTGCTTGCTTGTGTTTGAATGTTGTCAGGGTGTGAGATCTTGTAAATATAAAAAAAAAAAGATTTACTTGAGAGGTAAGTTTTTACGAAATTGTTCATTGTTTCCTCCTTTGTTGGTTGATATGTGTAATTATGAAAAAATATTTATACATTATTATTTGCCCACTAGCTGCAATCAACATTGAATCCATTTTATTTTTTTTCTTGGTTCAATGACAGGTTTGCTGTGTGCAAAGTGGTTCACCTTATATTTATATTACCTTGCCATTGAAAGTTATTTGAACCTCTATGCATAAGACTGGTGACCTGTTCTCTGTACACCATGATGCTCTGAGTTTGGATTTTATATGCTGTCAGCATCCTTAAAAGGGTAAAAGTGGTGGGTAGTTGTCAGAGTGAGCTGTGGTGTGGTCTTGCTCCCCTCTTTTCTTTGACAGTGATGCAAGTTTTCTAAAGCTAAGCTGTTTCTTGGGCTCACATAACTGATGTAAGTGAAAAAGAAATACTTCCTCAGAGCATCTTGGTGATTTGCAAGAAGGGCAAGTGTGCTTAATAATGACCGATGCTGCCTAGTAAATACAAGAGTCCGCTTAAACTGGTACGTCATGACTATAATATGAGCCCCATACAGATAAGTTGCGTTCTCCCCCCCCCCCCCAAGTGAAGAAAACATTCTAGGAGGAAGATGTTGTTTTTCTCCGCCTCCCCACCTTTATCATTAGTTGTTATATTTTCTGTGATTTGTTTTTAGTCTCTTGTCTTTCTTTTTTTATTGAGTGCTCACGGCTACGCAGATGGGAAGGTTTAGAATCAGTCTGGCAGTGTGATGGATTAGCTCTCTGAATGTCATTATAAATCATTTTGCCTTGGGAGATTTTTTTATACTTACTTTCTGAACTCACTGCCTGTTCACAAAACATCTCATTGCCTCCCACCCCCGTACCCACAATTATTTCAATGTATATTTTTAACAATCAACGTGACCAGACATAGATCATGAATATAGCTAAGATAATAACTCGCTTTTAAAAAGCAACAACTGAATTCTGGAACCAAAGGCACTGTGCTGTGGCAAAGGTAGGCAGTTGAGACAGAACTTTAAATAGCAGCATATTCGGCATGGGTGGGCAGTGAGTTAACTGAAATTAGTTCTTTTTCTAGCAGCATGTATGGCATGGGTAGGCAGTGAGTTGACCGAAGTTAATTCTTTTTCCGGCACAACTTTTAATTTGGATGCTGTGACCAAAATGGTGTGTGACGGAAAAAGTAGTTCTGTACTCCTCTTTAAGTTTTACTTAAGCTTTAACTGTGACGGATCTTGCCTATGTAGGATCACCACAGCGGGTGCACTCTGTCTTCATTTTCATTGGTTTGGAATACAGTTGAGGGCCATTATCATTTTTCATCATCCCGTGTACTTTGGTTCTATGTTCAACGTCGTTCTAGCCGCCTTTATTTACATTCCAGCTCCTACAGCTGTTAAAGGTCTTCCTTGTGCGTAATGCTATGGTCTTGGGGGGGGGGGAGGACAGTCGAACCTTGAACCTGTCCATAACGGTCACCCAAGATCACAGAAAAGCAATTAATGTTATAGACAGTTGGCTGCTATGGACAGGGTCCAAGTTATGGTCTCTTACTAGTCAGCAGTAGGTTTAGAATCTGAAATCTTACGTTTCATCTTTGAAATTCATTTCCATCAAGATTATTATCAAGAGCTCTCATAAGAGCTGCTTCTTTGCATTAATTCAACGTCATAACTCGGTCTGAAGGCTGTTCTGCAGAACTCTTTTGAAGCAAGTGACCCCTCTGAGCAAGTTTTGAGGCTGACTTGTCACGAAAGTGCCTGAACGAGGCTATGTTAGACATGAACGTGGTTGCGTAGGACGAGGACTGCTATGGACAGTGTAAAAATATAGAAAAAACCGCTAGAATGTCAGGGGAACAGTGGCTGTAAGTTCAAGTGACCGCTATGACTTTTAAGACAGGTTCAACTGTAGTTGTAAAACTGCTCAGTGTAGGATTTGAGCACTAAGAATTTTTTCCGTGGCTTGATAACTGGTGGTGTGGTGGTTTGGTTCGTGGCCATGCATGCCAAAGATATGAGTCCCAATATCACCAGGGAAATAATTTTGTCCTTTGTTGCTGGGTGGGATTCCACAAGGCTCTGACAGGTGTTACGTTTTTAATTTAATGGGGGGAGGGAAAGAGGGGCAACTAGCAGATGGGACAGATTTTTATCAATGAAATCAAGTTTACTCCCCTAAAGTCAAATTTGCTAAATTAATTTACATGTGCTAGTTTTTGGGTGTGTTGTCAGCTTTATTCGTCTTCAAAGTCTTGGCCAATTCTTATCCAAGGAAAGCAGGGTTCGCCCTGATTGTGTTATGAAATCGACAGATATAATATATATTGGGGGGTATTTCTCGACGGTTCACAATATACTGTCAGTACTAAATGGCCATTATTGTGTGGATGTGCTTTTCTGTACTCGAACAAACAGTATACTGTTGTATAGTGTTGATGAGCTCGCTCTATGGTAAGACTTGGTATTGTACTGAAATGTGTGGTTTATATTTCCATGAGGCTGTCGATGTTGATTTAAGGACAAATTTATTTGAATATTATTTTTTACCCCAAGTTTGTGAATATTACTTCCTGTTTTGAGGCAATCTCAAAGACGACATGTCTCATTCCTAGTTTTGAGTTGTTTTGTCGGTTGTTTATTCACAAGGTTTGGCTCACAGGTTTTTTTTAAAAACGCGGCCAGTGAAGTACTTGAAAATGAAACTGACTGTACTATAAATTCCAGTGCAGGAAAATTCGTTTGAATCTCAATTTTTAGCAGCTAGCCTCCTGTCCCCAAGTGCAAGCTTGTATTTCTCCTGGCTCTGGGAACTAGGATCAGTATTGGTACTTTGGGCCTTTACAGACGATGAAAAAATGTCATTGTTTAGTAGAGATTGTTTTGTGCTCGTTCACCTAGAAATGGCAAATGTGTTTTGAAATTTGTTAATTGAAAAGAAGTCAAATGTTTATTTCTAGGTGAACTGTGGTTAGGGTACACCTGTTTTACATCACTGAGTTAGTGACATGGTAGGAGACCTCCCCTCCCTCCCTCTCTCTCTCATACATAATGGTAGAAGACAACCCCCCTCCTCTCTCTCTCTCTCTCTCTCTCTCTCTCTCTCTCTCTCTCTCTCTCTCTCTCTCTTTCTCTCTCTCTCTCTCTCTCTCTCTCTCTCTCTCTCTCTCTCTCTCTCTCTCTCTCTCTCTCTCTCTCTCTCTCTCTCTCTCTCTCTCTCTCTCTCTCTCTCATACATACATGACTCATGTGCTGTAATGAGTCATGTGCAAAACACCTTTTGTCCATCTAATTCTTCTTCCCCCCTTGGCTCCAATTCTTGTTCTAGGAGCTTGCAGGTGTGTTATTGTTGCACACAGTGTGTTGACTTGTGATGTCGTAGTGTGATGGGACTTGCAAACCTCTGTGATTAGGCTACACCGTGTTAATGAGCTTTTGCAGGGTTTTTGGGTTAATAGAAACATTGATATTGGCTGGCATCATTTGATTTTGATTGTGGAAGGTGAAGTGATGAATGTGGATGAACGCTTTGACCTTAATGTCCCCTCCCCAACCACCCACCCAAAGGCATTAATTTTGTTTTTGGTCTTTTTATGCTTTTTTTACGACTTTGATTCTACAATGATTTTTGAGTAGACATTGTCACTGTATGAAGTTGTGCCCCTTGATTTGCAAGAGATGGGATTCTGTAGTTCCATTTATTTTTCGCAAGAATCTTCAATCTTATGTTTGTGAAACTTAATTGTTCTTATGAAAGTCATACAAAAGAGATACAATACAAGTTGAGAACACTACATTTGAACCTGAGTTTTAATTTTTTTAATTTTTAAGGAATATTTATGAGGTAAGCTGGCTTGCGTTGTCGAGTTGGACCAAATGTCTAAATGGTAAATGTCGGTGTTTATATCACATGATTGTCACATGGGAAGTGGAGACTGCCGACACAGTGCATTCGAAGTGAGTACTTCATCATCTGTTTCCATCTGGTGCAAAGTGTGGTGATATTTTAGGGTTCTGTGAAGGCAACACATTACAATCCTTTGTGTTCTTCATCTTGTGAGGGCAACACATACTGTCCTCTGTTCTTTATCTTGTGAGGGCAACACATTACTCTCATTTACATTCTTGTTGGGGCAGTACTTTACTATCCTTTGCAGTGTCGTTTGCTTCTTTCCTATCAAACATCTTTCATCCTTATCTTCGCTATCGTACTTCTTTTCTTTATATGCAACTCTCTAGTAACACCTCTATTCTTTGGCACGCTATTGACCAATTGGTGTTGCAAGTGTTGTCAAAGACTGCCTTAGAACTCGTCTAAAACTAAACAGCGAGTATCTATTATTTGCAGGCACCTTGGCGAATAGATGTACAGCATGGTAATTTTTCAATTGCACAGATCACCTGCTTGGTGTAAGAGTCTGCCGTGCGCCATTTTGAAAAGTGATGTATAGCGAAGCCTTAGTATGAGCAGTGGAAATGCTCTTTGTGTTCAGTTCTGATTCACACGATCTCACCATCCTAAAACAGGTGAACAAGTGAGGCATATACTGGGTGCCCATTGTGGATGGGTCAGGTCGGTTCGGGTCGATCGCCCGACTCATCACCTCAAAACAAACACATTTGGGTTTTTTTGGGGTGACGAGTCGGGCGCGATCGGCTTGTGCCACGATAGCTGCTTTGCGCCTTCAATCTGGCTAGCAAACCGCCCCGCCCCGACGGGATCCCCCAAATGGGCACCCCGTATTACATGTATCAGATTTCATTTAGCGTAAGATGAGTCTTCAATAGACACGCCCAGAAAAGTGGAAACGCTAGTTGGGCATTGTACAAAAGTTTTAATATTAATAGTTTGAACTGCAAAGGGTTAATGACAGAAGTCTTTTTATAAATATCTGATGTGATTCATACTGAATATTTCATTCATGGAAAAAATACTGTGGACTCTTTTTTAAACTGAACACAGTTAACCCTTTAAGCCCTGACTCCCTGAGGCTACCTTGCCCCTCTGCCAGAGCTCCTGAGCGATATATTATTAAAATCCATAAGATCATCAGAAATCACTTTCCATTATATCCCACTGAGGGTAGTCTTTGCCTTGTCATTACCAGTATCCCCTGTTTTTATTATCTACTTGGCGAGAAGGAGGTTGAAGTACAGCTGGGTGATTCTTAAGCTGTTGTTCTGTTTATGTTGCAGTTCAGTTTTTCATTAACAAATTTTTTCCTCTAATATAAAACACTGGTGAATAGTTGATCTATGCTTGTAAACGTGTTCAGTGCTAAAAATTTTTTATCCCCAATTATGGAACCACAGGAGATTGAAACTTTTGATCACTAAACATGACTATTTGTGCTACCAGCATCTGTGGTGTAGCGAGTGGGTAAGCGCTCTGGCTGTCTCTTGCAGAAAATCCTAGTTTAATTCCTATGTAGAGAGAATTCTTATAGAGTGTTTCTGTGTTTCTGCAAGAAAGTCGTATTCCTTTCAGCCAGAGTAGATCCTGACACTGACAGTAGTGACAGGCAGGGTTGAAGCCCAACTCCTAAAATGATCTATATTTTATTAATGGAAGATGTGAAATACCTACCAACCCATTTATGCTGAAACTCCCTTGTTTGAGGAATAATATATGTGAGGCAGCGTGGTGGAATCGGGCTCTCGTCAATTTTGGGGCATATAGAGTTATTGGTATCATCTTAAAGCTTGTTCACTTGTCTTTATTTAGATGAAAAAAAATATCCATTTATTTAAATACAAGTTGAGATATTTGCGAATGAAGGAGGTGGGGGTCACCTGTCTTCAGAGGTAAAATTATTGAGAAAATGGCCACCAAAGATAGTTATTTCCTTAGCTTAAGAGTCCGCGGCAACTGAAAATTTACATTTATTGTACATTTAATCAACGTTTTTAAGAAAAATCCACTCAGAAATGAGTTCTTTAATGGTCATAAAAGGTGTTGAACCAAAAAAACAAAAATTTGATAAAAATTCTCAAACCTGCAGCAAAATGCAAGTTTCTTCATTTTGATTATTTTGACGGGAGCCTGATTCCACCACGGTGCCTCACATATGGCTCTATTCTCTTATCAAAAGAAAGGAAGGCAGACAAAACAAATCTGGACGGGAGAAATGGAATTGATATGTTGAGGAAGTTTGAATGTGTGTCGAGGGTGAAGGCTTGATTTATACAGACATGTTGTCTGTGGACTATGGTGAAAGGAAAATATTACATGTTACATTCCATTCAGCCAGGTTTGGTGAAGTGAAACCTATCTGGTTGATCCTGCCAGTAGTCATGTTTGCATCAAACGATGTGATACATTATACATATATGTATATATCTTAGATAGGGGCTTTAAATCTGAACCATTTCACCGTTTTTGCATATTATGTCTTACTTCACACTTTCTCATGATGAAACTGTGAATAGTTCATTCACTCAGTTAATGTTCTTTAAATGATTCGATCATATTTTGATAACAGGCAATTCTAGGGCTAAGATATAGGCCTACATGCTTTTCAAGCTCCGGCCCCCATGGAAAGATTTTGAATTCTGTTTCATGACAGCTGTAAGTTGTAAGAAGCCACATGCTTTGTTACACAATGCATACTGGCCTATTTGTTCTACAGCAACTATAGAGACTAACTGACAGACTGGCACAAAAGCTATCTTTGATGCAGACGGCCAAGGCCTTTTTTTTTTTTCAGAGTATTATTTTTGTCGCTAATATCTAATGTGATTCATACTGAATCTTTCATGCATGGAAAAAATACTGTGGACTCTTCTTAAACTGAACTTGGTTGACCTTTGAGCCCTGACCCCCTGAGGCTACCGACACTACTGTGCCCCTCTGCCGGAGCTCCTGAGCGATATGTAACTATAAAATCCTTAAGATCATCAGTAATCATTTTCCATTATATCCCTCTCAGGGTAGTCCTCGTCATTACCAGCTTCTAATTGGTTGCTTTTAAGCACAAGCAGGCTTTCCCGAAAAATGCTGTTTTGAGAAAATCGGAAGGTAAAGTATTTGCCCCTTGTTCCATTTTTTGAAAAGACAAGGAGACTTTTCTCTATAACCAACCCAATATACACACCAATGAAACCGAACTTCTCCTGTAGGAAGGGCAATACCCGCTTTTGGTGTAGGTGTAGGTCAAGATTTCTGGAAACCCACGAAATCTGGGTTAGCCCGCTTGTCCTTAAAAGCGACCAATTCAGAAAGACCTTCAAAACAATCAATAACATCCTGTGTAGTAAACGCTGTTTTCAATGAGCATTTTGTCCCAGGCTGGCTGGGTTGGAGATAGGGTCTTGCTCACCAGTGTAGTGGTGGCTAGGCATACGGACAGTTTTAGTTTTACGCACCATCAGTCTGACTACCGGTGGCAAAGGCTCAAAGGATTAATCCCAAAACAGTGGTGAACCGAAGGAATATAGAATCTCTTATTTTTTCTTTCTTCATTGTTTTAACTCTCTCTCTCTCTCTCTAATATGAAGCAAATACGGTGATCCCGCAGATTTTCAATGTTAGTGGACTCCAGTGTATTCAATCCCCCAGTAAAATGTGCACCTTCTTAATGATGTCACTTTTAACTGCTTTTTTTTG